AGCTGATGGCCATTCTAGTTGAGCTACATGATCATATATGCAGATGGGAGAAACCTACAGAAGGACAAACATCACTGCAACACTCCACCGATCTGTGCTTTATGGTGGTGTGGCAAGACTCAATCCTCTCCTCAGTGTAGACACATGAAAACACACTTGGAATTAACAAAGAAGCACCTAAAGGACCCTCAGACTCTGAGAAACAAGATTCTCTGATCTGATGAACCTCAATTCCAAGCATCATGTTTGAAGGAAACCAGGCACTGCTCATCACCTGCAGAGTACCATCCCAAAAGTAAAGTGTGCTGGTAGCAGCCTCATGCTGTGGGGCTGTTTTTTAGCGGCAGGGACTCAGGGACTCATCAGAGTAGAAGAAAAGCTCAATGCATCAAAATATAGAGATAGCCTTTATGAAAACCCAGTCCAGAGCATTCAGAACCTCAGACTGGGCAGAAGTTTCCTCTTTCAACAGGACAATGACCCTAAGCACACAGCAAGAGTGGCTTATAGACAACTGTGTGAATGTCCTTGAGTGGCCCAGCCAGAGCCTGGGATTGAACCCAATCAAATATTTCTGGAGAAACCTGAAAATCTGCGTCTGCCCCCATCCAACCTGACAAAGCTTGAGAGGTGAAGAGGTGAGGTGAAGAATGGCAGATAATTGCAAAATGCTGATGAGAAAAGCTTGTCGCATCAAACAAAAAAGACTTGAGACCGTAAAGGTGCTTCAGCTAAATATTTAGTTGTACTTATGCAATGTACTTATTTCAGTTTTATTTTTTATATATAAATTTACGAAGTTGTGACAATTCTGTTTTTGCTTTGTCAGTATGGTGTATGGAGTGTAGATTGATGTAGGAAAAAAGGCAGCAACATAACAAAACGTGAAAAAATGAATATATATATAAGAAAAATATTTTTCGGATGTAAGCATCAAGACAATGCCCTACCGTATTGCAACACATCAAAGCAGTCAATACATCACAGTCAAGAATAACTTGAAGAGGTCGCCAACGTTTTCTAAACTGTGGACTAGCTTTGAATCTTACTGCTGATTTGAATGGCACTGCTTCCCGTTTTAAATGTCACTTGATGGCCTTTCATTTTTAACCAGAAATGTGCACGCTGCTTAGTGATGTTCATTGAGGTTTTCCGTGTCTTTTTTCCGTATCATTTGAAAAGGTGAGAAGAAAAAACATAAACAATCAGTTGTGGGACTACAGTATATTCTGTCATAAATCTCATACATACCATTCATTCCTGAACTTTCTACCATCCGTTACTGGAAATTACATTACTGGTTGATATGTCCTGATGTCAATAAGTTTCAAAAAGTTTACACACGCTTTTGGTCCATGAACTAGATCTCGCTCTGAACTCACGCTGTCTATGGAAGTTTGGCCAGGACCGTTTCTACAATCAAATCACTGAGGCTGCTCTCACATTTTTTTTTGTACCATCCATTGCTATGGTTATCACTGTGTCAGTCACTGCTCACTGCTTTCGAGAGTGAATCCAGTATAAATATGTGGATGTTATTCCTGAAACTTTGCAATGTGTATGTGTCCAAAAGAAGTTTCATACAAAATCTGAATAGATTATTGCATAGAAAGTGTGCAAAGCATGCTCCCTTTATTATACTAAAAAGCGCCACTCAGCTTAGTTCATTGCAATCTCACAAAGCTTCGTTATAGTCAATAAAGCTCTCTAAACTGTACACTAAATATCTTATTTACATTACGTCTGCACTGCACTGCAATCTGGTCATCTCACTTTGTTTTCACTGGGTCCAAACTAGGTAATTTCTTGAGTGAGATCTTTATCCAGTCTTAAGACCACTCTCTTTTTTTAAAAAAAGGCTGCTCAAGGAAAGAGAGGGGGAGTCATAGAAAAGTAATATCCCGCACAGATCTCACTGCTTACTTCACTTCCCCTCAGTGTGCTTGAAGTTCATCAGGCCTCAGCAGTGTCGCAGCAGGTGTAATTTATGAGGTGTTAAGAACGTTAGACTGTAACTGAAAAATATACTGTAAACTCTAGTTCCCCCAACACACCTCTAACCCCAAAGCGTGAAGCCCTATAATAAAGGTATAGGGCCTCTTACTCCTTGAGAGTCCGCCAAAGAAAATGCATATTACATTTGGCTCTGCTTTCTTTTCTGCAACACCAAATTGAGAATTTCAAAGAAAAAAAGAAACAGAAGCATAGCTGTTCAGAAGCATGTTATGTTTTAAAAAACTGATGTGCCCACCAGACTTTTCTAACTTGTTTAACCAGCAAGTTCTTTGGTCAACCAGCTTTGTGGGTAAGGGTTCGCCCACCTGCCAGACTATTAACACCAAACCAGCATAAACCAACATGGTAATTCATTCTGGTCTACCCAGTGTTTTATTCAGTTCTGGAAACTTAACAGCTACCCGTTAACTTTGCATTTGTATGCTACCCTGTCTTTCTAAATGTACTCCTTGGTATCTACAGTGATTTTTCATGTTAACCAAAACTTGGTTTGGTTATACACTAAAAAAACTGGGGCATGTAGCATGAACCAGCAGTTATGAGCAGTCAATAATCCTATAGGTGTAGACTGGTGTACACTAAAGACATACTCAGTATCGATATATAATTACACATTTTGTGTTAAGAACACAAACGTTTTGGCTCCTAACAGGGTTTAAAAGTTTAGAAATGTAATGTGTTTGAAAGTTCACCAAGACTGCATTTAACTAATTAAAAATACAATAATATTGTAAAACAGTATTACAATTTAAAACAAATGCTGTCTATTATAATATATTTTAAAATGTATTTTATTCCTTTGATGGCAACATGCTGATTTGGTGCTCAAGAAACATTTCTGATTATAATATAATGTTGAAAACAGCTGTGCTGTGTTTTTGTGGAAACTGTGGCACTGTGATTTTTTTGTTCTCTGAATCCTTTAATGAGTAGAAAGTTCAAAAGAACATTTATTTGAAATAGAAATCATTTGTTACATGATAAATGCTTTTACTGTCATTTTTGTTCAATTTAATGCTTCCTTTCTGAATAACTATAAATGTGTTTAAAAAGAAAAAAATAAGAGTTAGTATTCATTTGAGTACACGTTCAAGTAGAGAAACAAGCTAATTGATAAAGACAAAGAACAAATAAATGTGTTTAAATATATTTTTCTTCAACATCATATAAATCGATATGTATAAAGGCTACTCTTTTTCCACTATTCAGCAGAGACACATATTTGTTCATCTGAGAACATGTGTGCTCCTTCTCACACACTGATGAGCAAACTGAAAGTTCACAGTAGGTTTGGAGGTGCTCTCTCCAGCTGGTATTTTCTAGTCTGCTGCTTTTTTCTAAAGCCCTCGGACTAGGGCCTGGATTACATGCAATTATGCTTCATACAGCAGCTGCCTGTGGGACAGTAGAGAGAAAGAGGAAAACTGCTTTCATTCCTGACACAGCTAAGCTTCAGTAGAGGACAATCTAGCTGCTGACAGGTGTAGAAAACACCTCCTAATCCAAAAGATACCATAATTGTTTTTAAGCTTGAGACCTCAGGGCAGGACATCTGTCATACTGGGATAACCTGCATGAATACAAAGCAAAGTTTGCAAGTCTACACTCAAAGTGTGTTGAATTCCATTTGGAGGTATTAGAAACTCTCATCGCTGGGAAGGCGCACTTTTTCAGCCAGACATACAGTAGGCTGGAATTCTGAGAATGTGTGTCTCCTATTTCCTTCTTAAGAATGGCTAGACTAGATGCCATTTATACCAAGGCTTTCGAACACCACATCACCCCTCCCAATAAAATTCACAAGAGTAAACAGTATTTTTCCCGAAGCTTCTGGGCCATCGAATTTGACCCTATTTGGTAGCTCAGTTGAGCCAAGGAATTCTCACGGAAGCGGCCAGCGCTATATGTTACTCAGTGACATGCTACATCATTCTGTGTCATTCTGAACCAGAAAGACAATTCGAGTTCTATGTGCTGAAGGAAAAAAGGAAAGTATCTGCTTTCTAATGGCATAATTCAACTTACACTCCAATATGTTTACTTAAATGCTGGCAGTCATAAAAAAACTGTTCCTCAAAAATAAAAATCTGAATCATGTATTAGTTTATTTTATTTTACAAACTTTTAAAAGTTAGGGTAGATATGATTTTTAATGTTTTTAAAAGAAGTATCTTATGCTCACCAGGGCTGCATTTATTTAATAATAATAATAATAATAATATTGTGAAGCATTATTACAATTTAAAATAACTCTATTCTATTTTTATACATTATATTACATTACATTACATTATATTATATTTGTATTCACAGAAAGCAGAGACCATATTGTATTTCTCATATGTATTTTTTAAATCATATGATGGCAAAGTTGAATTTTTAGCTTTTCTTATATGTAAATATGTTGATAAAAATATTTCTTATTATTACTAAATCAAAAATGGTTGTTCGGTTTAATCGTTTTTTTTTTCCTTTGATGAGCATTTTGTACTTTTTTTTATTTGATGAATATAAAGTTGAAAAGAACAGCTTTTATTTGAAATAGAAATTGTATGTAACACTATAAATGTCTTTACTGTAACTTAACAATTTAATGCATCCTTGCTGAATAAAAGTACTGATCACAAAATTTTGAAAGATAGTGTACATTAAAAATGTAGACATAAATATCAAGTAAACAAGTAAAAAATGCATTATACTATAAATGCGTTAAATTATTATTATTGTTATTATTAAATATTCATTGTAATACTATTTATTTATATTATAAATAAATAACTATATAAATAGATATAAATAAATAAAAATAACTATCCAAAACAGATTTGGACAATGACTTCAAGATAAAAGGAATGAATTTTGTTTTTTCAAAAACAGCAAAACCCAAAACAGTCAAACGTTGCCTATTCCAACTTACTCTGATGGAGTGTGTAACAAATATTCAGGTACTGTACAAGACAGAGAGGGAAGGCCACAGAACCTACCAGTGTGCTGTTGTGCTTTATCTCTGGTTAATGATTTCCCCAGGCCTAGGTTTGCTGGAACTGTAGTCCGCCGTCCTGCGAGAAATCAAAAGAGGCTTGTTCAGAGGGGGGTTCAGAAGTAGAATATGGAAAACAAACAGGCAAGGCCACACAGCACAAAGGCTAACAAAGAAAAGAAACCACCCTAGGCTTCTCATCTTCCTCCCCACAAACTCCTTCCTTCATTGGAGATTTTCCTTTAGTCTTGATGGAAAGCTAATCTCCCACATCCCTATACCAATCCTGAAGTGAATAGGCTGTTTACAGAAAAAAACAGATAACTGCCTACTAAGCACCACTGCACCCTTTTCTAAAAACACTGTGTTCTCCTTTTTAAGGGGTGGTACATCTTCTGCTTCTGTCATCTTGTTGAATTCCATCGGCTGCAACAGGTATTAACATGTACATTCCTGAAATGTCTCAAATCAATGCATGATTGTCATCACAAAATTATAAGGCAATAGTAACGACCCGAACCTAAAGGAACTGCTCTCAAAAACACACAATCCTACTTTTTTTGGGGGGGTTCTGTGTTGGACTAGCAACGCTAAGCGGCAGGTCTAAATCTCTGGGGTTAATCTTGTTATATAATCAGATTTCAACAAGACCTTTTTGGTGGGAGGGCGTTTATGTCACAATGTTTCCATTTAAAAGAGGATGGATGAACTCGCATGTCACACGGACTAAAGACAAAAAGGGAAAATCTTGGTTCAGGGAGTATGTAAATAGCTGTGGAGCCGCAGGACGTGAAGACAGTCTTCTGACATGCCAGATTTGTGCCTGATTAGCTCAGGTCGGAGATCAGACTATCTGTTTGCTCAGAGGACTTACTCCAAACTCCTACACTGGGAGAGCAAGTGCAGTATGACTGAAAGCACCTAAAGCTATACAATTATAATGTTTCTAGTCCATACAGTAATACTTTGCTTTACTAAAAACTCTTACTTAAAAAGCAGCTTTGCAGGAAGCAGAAAAACAGGAACAGGAAAAAAGGGTTTGGCCTAGTTATAACACACAGCAGCAGTTAGCTCTCTCTCTCTCTTTCTCTCTCTCTCTCTCTCTCTCTCTATATATATATATATATATATATATATACTGTATATATACACAGTATCTCACAGAAGTGAGTACACCCCTCACATTTTTATTAACCTGGTAAAAACCACCAGCATATTTATTATTATTATTAATAATAATAATAATCACATTCATTTATTTTACATTAATATTATATACATTAATTATAAAATGGCATATTAATAGTGTGAACATGAAATAATTAAGACATACAATTTTCAGTAAAAATAACATTTATAACAGTGTATGACATCACATTCCTAGCTAACTAACCAATATGGACAATGAATTACTTTTGACACTGAATTAGGTCAAAGGAATTAATTGAATTTTATTATTGCACTGATCATTTTGAAAGCAGAGACTTTGCTTTATACAAAAACAACAAAACCCAAACCAGTCAACCAGTTTGGTTTTTGACCAAAAATTTAATTTGTTTCTCCCAAAGTGGCCTGTTGCAAATTACGTCTTATATAATTATACAATATAAATGTATAAAAATCATAAAAAATTACTAACATATGTGCATATTAATTGCAATAAATATACTAAACTATTAAATGTAAAAAATTATGTACTGTATGTGGCTATTTTTTATGAGTATATGACATCATGGCTAATCAGCCACTAGAGCAGTGGTTTCCAAGGCCAGGGCCCACTTCCAAGGATCTCAATAAGTCTTACAATTATTTAAATGTAGCCATATTAACAAACTAATTCTTTAAAAACACTAAAAATAAAGTCACATTTTATTTGTTTTTATAACATATCAGGTTAGATTTGGCCTTTGGATACTGTCACAGACAAAGTGCACTGGAGTCAAAAAAGGTATGTGACGATTCAAATCGGTTGAGATGCCAAACAAATCGCGATTCAATTAGGGGTAGGAGTTTATATGAATGCATGTCTGAGGGGAACTTACTGTCTATCGATGGTATTTTTTCTTTTCCTCTTGCCTCTGTATAATGCATATCAGGGCTCCAGACTCATTCTTCCCACTGGTCGCTCTTTTGCAACTAACTTTCTCAGCTGGTCGCACGAGCACATGATTTGGTCGCTATATTTTTATTTTTTTTTGCGCTACAACATGGGATTATTCAATGCATGCTGATTAACTTTTATCATAGTTTATAGTTATATGGAAATGAAAGTTGTTAACATTCAACCCATTCTTCATCATCAGTAGTATTATTTGTGATTTGAATTTTGTGAATGGGACTTTCTCTTTTGCTATGTTAAGCAGCGGGCTTCGGATGCTTTCACTTTCGAATTCGCGATATTGTTGTCACTGTTTTGCTTACATACATCTACACACCTTTCATTATTTAAGATTAAAACAAAAGATGGATTCATTGTTATTCTTAATTAAAAAGCAGAACAACAATAAATCAGTAAGATACAATGACAAACTAGCTTATAAAACGTTTATTAACAAAAACGAATAAGATGAGGTATGGCACACACCACATGCTGTATTATATACCGACTAATAAATTACAGAACGTTTAGCAAACACTGAGGAATCAAATAAATAAAACCGAGCCTCCATAGCTTAAGGTAAACAGCAAAGATAAGTTTTTCAAAAATGAAAACAAAAAGAAAAGTAAAACTAACGGTGACAGTGCTTGCATGTTTTCACCCCACAAGAATTACTAGCATGTTCACCTTCTCTGGATTAAGAAGCGGCCTTTTACTTGACTTTCGCTTGAAACTCATCCATTGTTTCCTCAATATGCGCGTAATTTTTGCTGCGCGCAGCTTCGCGCTCGTGCTGACAAGCCTGTTTCGTTATGCTTTCAGTTTCGTTTGCCCTTTAAAGTTTCTCATATGCAACAGAAACTGCATCGCTTATGAGTTGACCAACGCGGTTGGTCACCAAAAAACAAAATTTAGTCACACAGGCAGAAAAAATGGTCGCAGTCTGGAGTCCTGCATATTAAAGTTCATAAGTGCAGCGCTGCTTTGTTTACAGCGGAAACTTCACAAAACTGAAGTCAAACCATTCTGTTTTTGCTTCAAATTTCGAAATTATAAAATCTAATTTAGTTTAAAAACTGCTCATGTTGCATGTATGCAGCATCTTTGTTTGGATCCAGATTAAAACGCAGTGGTTGCCTCTAATTTTAAATGTAAAGAGCACAGACAAAGCCTTAGTTTGTTTATATGAAGAGATTTCTTTTATTTGTGTTACTTATTTATTTGATTTGGGGCTTGTTTTAAAATTTAAATTTAGTTTTGTTATTTACATTTACATTATATTTAACTTTTGTTATTTAGCAGACGCTTTTATCCAAACGACTAACAAATGAGGACAATAGAAGCAATCAAAACCAACAAAAGAGCAATAATTTACAAGTGCTATATTAGTATATTATTATAGTGTTATATGTCAATTTCACAAAGAAACGTACAGTATTTTGTCCAAGCAATAATAAAAGGACGCATTTAATTTATAATCTGTCTTAAATCTCATTTTGTTAAAAAAAAAAAAACGTGAATCGAATCGAATCGAATCGTGAGTTGAGTGAATCGTTACATTCCTAGCATGTGACCTTTCCAATAAACACTCAACTTCTAATCAACAGCTCAATCCACCTATTCTAATCAAATCACTTCCAGTGTCACTTCTTTTAATGGAAAAAAAATATAATAAATAAAACACAAGGTTACAAAGCAAAAAAAGTTGTTTATACCTGCTCTATCTTACTCTATCCTGGCGTGAAACACTATTTTTGAGAACAAGTCTGTTGTCAGCTGCAAGGCAGTTACATGAATGTACGCCATTGTGTACGAGAAAAAAAACAACAAGATTTTTTCAACGGCCAGTACCACTAATGCAACAGCAAACTGGTCTCCTGCCGACACTGTATGAATAAAAACACACTGCAGTGACTAAAGCTGAACGATCCACTGAATATATGAAATGATAACAGAGTTGTGGTACTCTGTCTTTTCAGCAGTGCAATCTAGATGCCCGATTCAGAGAAGGTTTAGTTTCCTCTGGGGAGGGCAGGAGGGAAAACGCAGGGGCTCTTTCTTTAAAAGGCTTCATCTCAAATTGCCAATAGAGTCCTTGTTTTAATTACAGCTCTGGCATTGATGCTCTCTAGATATAGATAACAGATCTAAAGCTACTGAGTTGAAAGCCAACAGTATTAGCTCTCAGATCGCTGAAATAAATCCTCATGCTGTTACTCTGTCTCCATCAGGGGGTTTGGGGTGTACATTTATCTGACATCCAAATTCATCCCATCCTGCCACATCCAGGTACAAGATCTGAGACAGACCGTTGTGCCTTGATTTTATTTTAAATGTATGGGGGAGCTTCGCGCTCGTGCTGACAAGCCTGTTTCGTTATGCTTTCAGTTTCGTTTGCCCTTTAAAGTTTCTCATATGCAACAGAAACTGCATCGCTTATGAGTTGACCAACGCGGTTGGTCACCAAAAAACAAAATTTAGTCACACAGGCAGAAAAAATGGTCGCAGTCTGGAGTCCTGCATATTAAAGTTCATAAGTGCAGCGCTGCTTTGTTTACAGCGGAAACTTCACAAAACTGAAGTCAAACCATTCTGTTTTTGCTTCAAATTTCGAAATTATAAAATCTAATTTAGTTTAAAAACTGCTCATGTTGCATGTATGCAGCATCTTTGTTTGGATCCAGATTAAAACGCAGTGGTTGCCTCTAATTTTAAATGTAAAGAGCACAGACAAAGCCTTAGTTTGTTTATATGAAGAGATTTCTTTTATTTGTGTTACTTATTTATTTGATTTGGGGCTTGTTTTAAAATTTAAATTTAGTTTTGTTATTTACATTTACATTATATTTAACTTTTGTTATTTAGCAGACGCTTTTATCCAAACGACTAACAAATGAGGACAATAGAAGCAATCAAAACCAACAAAAGAGCAATAATTTACAAGTGCTATATTAGTATATTATTATAGTGTTATATGTCAATTTCACAAAGAAACGTACAGTATTTTGTCCAAGCAATAATAAAAGGACGCATTTAATTTATAATCTGTCTTAAATCTCATTTTGTTAAAAAAAAAAAAACGTGAATCGAATCGAATCGAATCGTGAGTTGAGTGAATCGTTACATTCCTAGCATGTGACCTTTCCAATAAACACTCAACTTCTAATCAACAGCTCAATCCACCTATTCTAATCAAATCACTTCCAGTGTCACTTCTTTTATTTATTTAATGGAAAAA